AAAAGTGCCAGAGCTGCGAAGGCATGAGAAGGACTGGGAATGCTGCTGGTGAGGAAGTGATGCACCCCAAACGTCTATGAAGAAAGAGTTTGAGGTTTCACCATTGTGGTAAGTAAGCTAAACTGCTGTTGGTATCACAGTACGACTGAATCAAACCAGAGAAAAAGGTTGAAATAAACAGATGTGTGGAAATAAAGACACTTACAGCAAGAACGGCAGCAATGGGAATAGCAGCGTTCATGAAAACTGCAAAAAGAAAACATGTTTTAAGTCACTGATGATGCAGCAAACAGTTTCATACAGGATGAAACATCTAGATTCAGCTCTACTAGCATTAGCTTAGAGCTAGTTGTATCCATACAGATGGTTCTGGGGTCTATCCAGAAGACCAATGGGCTCTACAGTATGTGCAACTCCACTACTGAGCTTTTTGTGTCCTGTCTTTCATTACTCTGGATGAACTGATTAAACCAGGTGTGTCTGGCCATGGTTACCGAGGCTAGGGTAATATTCCCTTCCCTGTTGCAAACCCCCTAGACTTGCGAGGAAGGTGATGTGAACGTTGGTGATGGCAGCATTCGCGCCTCCTCTTCCAGCTCACCGCTTCGCATTCGAGGCATCCTGCTAGCTCCAGTGTTCGGCTGCAGCCTCAGACTGGGGAAAGACCTGGTGGTTTCTTTACCCTTGATGTACAGTAAGTGGTTTTCAGCCCATTTTGGATCTGAGGGGCCCTTCCATTCCACATGCTTCGGATATTAGAGGTTCTTCAGGCCACTGCAAACGTAGACTGGTTTATAGATCTGAGGGATGCCTACTTTCAGGTGGCTACTGCGACAGAGCATCGCCACTTCCTCAGGTAAGGTGTCACAGTGGGGCCTCAGTGTCAACTTGGTCAACTTTCACAGTTTACTCAAGCTGGTCAGTAAATTATGGCTGGGTAGGCAGTTTCCCTATGTCTTCTGGGCAAAACTTCTGTTACTCGTGTTGTGCCCTTGGTTTTGCTCTTTCTGCACCCTTTTTAAAGGTGGCTCAACAGCTCTACTCTGGCCCCTAGACAAGGTAGACTGTCCCTGCGGGGAAAGTGTTGTGCCGCGGGGAGGTACAGATGCCAGTCGCATGGGTTGGTTGGCACCTCAATGGGAGCGCATATACATGTTCTGAAGCTGTCGTGCACATGGCTCTACCTAGATGTAACGTAGGTGCTGGTTGGGATGGATAACAGCTCTCTGGTTTACCAAATAAACCATCAGGGAGGGACCACATTGGCACGATTTCTGAAGGTGTCCCGAGATCACCTGAAATGGGCCTCTCTTCTCCTGTCCACCCTATGGGCAATGTATTTACTTTGGGTGAACAATCAGATCGCAGACTCTTTCTCTCACTAGGCTCCTGCTCTGGGAGAGTGGTCCCTTCACCGCAATGTGGCGCACGTAACCGCTTTGGTCGAGCAGAGGTGGATCTGTTTGCAACAGAGGAGTCAATTAAATACCCTCTGCAATATTCTGGAAGGGACATTAGAAGCCAGGGAATAGTTAGATAATAATAATTAGGATTGGGTGCATTAGACCAGGATGCTAGTGCATCCGGGTTCTCCTGTATGCTGAACCAGACCGTGTGAGACACAACCGACCGTGCTAAACTGGTACTAGTTCATCAGTAGGCCTTGGTGCGGTTCAGTTCTGGCTCGGATTTCAGATAACAAAGAGCGCATTAGAGTAGCGCGTCATCTCCTAACAGTCAGCCTCTGTAATCATGACATTTAAGACATTAACAAAATAGTAGCTTCATTAGCATGCCACACGATTTCCAGTGATGATTCTGCTTAGCAGTGGGATGAAACTCAATGTCTGCCGTTGTTTCCTGCATCTGTAAGCCTGATTAGACGACCATTTGTCGTATCCACTTCCCAAAAGCCGACTTTGTTAATTAAATTCACCAAAGGCTGCCTTCTTTTCCTGGCTCTTCACAAACAGCAAAATATTACAATTATAACCAAACTTATTGAATGTTATGGAATGTTATGTTGATTTTCTGTTGAGAGCAGTAGCACCGTAGATCCTCACAAGGAGGAGGTGAGGAACGGTGCTAGCGTGATTTGTAAACAGTCATAAGGAACCAAGCCCAGTCAGCTCATCCAAGCTCTGTCGGAACTCGGCACGGATCGGTTTTCAGAGGGTAATGTAAATGGGACTTTAGTTGGGGGGAAGAATATGGCGCCCCCAACCCTCAATGCTCCAGCTGTGGGTATGGCCACTGGGAGGCTGACTGACTTTTAGACTCTGTTCGGCGCACCATATTGAGTGCCAGGCACCCTCCACTTGAGGGCATTACAATGTTGGATGGTGTCTATTTTCTTAGTGGTACTCTACTGTTAGTGGTACCCCCGTAATGAGGAACCAGTTTCCTGCGCAGTGCCCACTGTTCTAGAGTTTCTCTAGTCTATACTTGATAAGGGTATAAGGCATATGTTGCAGCAATCTCATGTCATCATGCAGCTGCTGATGACCATATGATGGGGGAGGGTGGCATGGTCTGGTCTCTTATTTTCTGCACAGAGCTCATTGGTTGCGCCCACCACTCAATTCTTGATTCCCTGACTGGGATCTGCCTTTGGTACTGTTTCCCTTATGAGCCCTTGGTGAAAGGGGACCTAATGTGGCTCTCTTATAAGAAGGCCTTTTTGTTAGCCATTACTATTTCATTGCCAGAGCCTTAAGGCTGATTTATACTCAGAAACCAGGTCGTCTCTGTGTGTTAATGCAGATATGCCCCCGCCCCTTCTGCAGACACGCAGCTGCACCTCTCCAAGATTGTAGGTGACCGCAGACAGTGCCACAGACAGGAGACCCCAGATTGGTCAAATCTACATCCGCTCTACATTATGCGTATTTCCTGTTTGGTATCTTACCGGCTTGTTTTGCTTGTATGACCGCCATTGTTGAAAACGCCTCGTAAAGTTGGATCAGCTAGAAGAGCGAGGTGCGCTAGAACGCTGGGACCCTTTTTCCACCTGGATCCTCGCTCTTTTTCATTTTCACCCTCATGTCCTTCTGCTGTCACACAGAAGGACATTTCCTCACTGCCTCGGCCGTATCTAGACCCACAGCTAGTTTGTGATTGTTCCTCTTGCGTTGCGACGTGGAATAACATAGCACAGACCAAGCTTCTATATTGGGCATAAATATCTGCCTCATACCTGCGACAAGCTAACTGCGACACATTGCTGCGGGAGTATAACCAGCCCTTTATTGGCCACTGGTAATAACACTTCTTTATCCTGATTGGTCAATAGGTGTATGTGTGCATACATGACTGGTTCATTTGATTTTTTGGATTATACCTTTTATTTAAATGCAAACTTTGCTTTGACTGGTAAATAACCCTGAAGAAGGCCACAGTTAAAACGCATTGGCCTCAAATAAAGTGTGTGTTTCCTCATATGACCCAACTTTATGTCAGATTTTTCTTAAATATTTGGTGGTTTAAACAAAAAAGGCATCAAACTGTCTTTTTGTGAGTTTCAAAGAAACTGAATCTTAAAGGGAAACTGACAAACTCTCAAAGACCTAGTTAGAAGGTTTTCTAAAAGTTGCATCATGGAAGGGTTGAAAATAGGGAGAAGGCTGAGGAACTCAAAAGACTAAAGATGACTGAAGCTCATGTTTGTGCTCTTTATCTTACTGGACATGGATGTGTAGAAAGCAAACGTCCTCAGGCTGGTGAGCTCTTTGCCTCTGGTCTGCTCCACGCTGTCGCAGAAGATGTCCTCCCAGGCGTACAGCTTCAGCAGCTTGATACCCTTTAAGATCTCTGTGGTCTGTTTCAGACGATCTGTGGAGTGTTCCTGGAGAACAGCAGGATCAAGACATGGACAGATTCAATATTCCTGTGTTCCAGGTTGAGTTTTCTCACTCCTGCTAAAGTATGACAGGGAGAGTTCTTTCAGCCACAGAACTCTCCACAAGTTCTAATAATATTAGGGTAGCACGGATAGTTAGAACCCCAGCTTCAAAACTGCCTCTTCTCTGCTTACTATGGCACGAGTCACACAGTGAATCAAAGGGATATTGACACTTCAGTGTCCTTTCAGCTTCATCTTCCATCTAATCAGATTTTTTTAAGTGTTTCATAGTTTCGATGTATTGCCAGTATATCCAATGTGTTCAATTGCTAGATGAAACATGGACCAACCCCTGCCGTCACCGTTTGGAGTAGTGCAACATGGTGGTGCCCTTACCAAAAAATAATTTTTAAAAATCTTCACTTTTTTCTTTTTACACTAGAAAAACGATCTAGAAATAAGTAAAGATTTCTGAAATTAAGTGTATTTACCCTTAATTTGAGTAAGTAAATGAGATAGTTTGCCAATGGAATGAGTATTTTTACTCTTTTTTTTCAAGTGCATATTATCTAATTATCTTTTTTAAGACGATACAATTGTGTTTTTTTTATTTTAAATGTAAATTGTCTTGTTCCATTGGCAAAATTTCTCTTTTACCTCCTCAATCCAAGAACAAATGCACTTATTTTAAGAAAAAATGTGTTTTTTCCAGTGAATTCCCATGAAAGGATGCTTATGCACTCTTTCCTTGACATTCATAGACATACACTGCAAAAACAATCTAGAAACAAACAAAAATGTCTTAAATTAAGTGTATTTACCCTTAATTTGAGTAGGTAAATGAGGTAGTTTGCCAATGGAATGAGTATTTTTACTCTTAACATAAGATATTTATATAAAATGCACTTGAAAAAAGATAATGCGATTGTGTTTTCTTATTTTAAGTGTAAATTGTCTTGTCCTTTTGGCAAGATGTCTAATTTATCTCCTCAATTCAAGAACAAATGCACTTATTTTAAGAAAACAATGACTTATCTAGATTTTGATTTTTTCCTGTGTAAGTTCTGGACTCATTAAGAATATGCTATGCATACACCTAAAATGTAAAAAATACATATAAAGTTCACACTATGCCAGTGTTTTAGGAGATTCTGGGACGTTTGGCATACGCTGGCTAAATCGGCAAGGTGTGACAGCGCCCTAACATGCTTGCACTGCCAGGAACTTGACTTTAGTCTTTTTCTTCAGCCCAACTCATTACGATTTGAACCACATCCATTGGAATGACAAAAGGGTAATCACTCTACATAACAGTTACAATTAAAAAAGCCTAAAAAGCAGGAAGACTTGAATCCAAAAGCAGAGTTGGTACTAATGGAAACGGGCCATGATGGGAGGCGGTGGAGTTCAACAAACAGAAGGATGAAGTGTTTTATTTTGGACTGGCTGAAAAACCAAACACCTTCAGGTTCTGGATAATCTGCAGAGGTTTCCCAGCAAAGGCTGGAAGAGGAGTTATAAGAGTGTAGCAGATAGACTCGGTGGTATGTTGGGTCAGGTATGGGGCACCATCAGGTATGATGATCAACTATCAGTCTCCAGCAATCTTTGGTGGAGCAGACTATAAAGGAGAGCTCTGTGGTTACATCTCTAAGCTTTCTATGCCTGATTGTTTCCTGAGAAGAAATCATAAAGTTTTAAATAACATTATATAATCATGAGAACAGATTTAACAGGAACTGTAATGTTACTCAGACCAGAGCGATGACTCAGGTTACTGGTAGCGCTTAACCATGGAGCTTCCTACATCGGGAATAAGCAACAGTTGAATAAGAATTTTATACGCCTCCAAGGCCACATCATCACATCTTCACATGTTTATAAATGAGGAGATGTCTCTGGCTCCAGCCCTATTCAGGTAACACAGTCTTCTACATGAAGAAACCTCTGAATACACAGATTCTGTTAAAAATAATCCACTCTGCCTGTTTGCTCCCATTTCATTTCCAATTCTTGTCCCGATTATATAACCTGCTTGGGAAAACGTGAGCTTTAACATGTAGCAGGCAGGTATTATTAGGGTTTAACAAGCACAGAGATAAATCATAAGAAATAATCAAAACAACTTCCCCTGATAAGCTAACATTTTTACTCCAAAAAAAGTAAAAAAAAAACAATCCACTGGACTTTGTTTCCAAGTTTGAAGACGTTTTATTTCCCATCCAGGAAGCTTTTTAATTCAAAATGTCAGAAGGTTTTATAACAGTAGCCCATTATCCTGCGAACTCAACGCTATTTCTGACATTTTGAATTGAAAAAACATCCTGGATGGTGAGGGAAACGTCTTCAAACTTGGAAACAAAGTCCAGTGGACTGTTTTTTTTTTTACTTTTTTGGAATGACTATGACCTGGATGAGAATCTTCACCAGCATATCAGCATTTTTACCTTATAAAGACACTTCTTAAACATTTTGTTTGGATGCAGATATCCTGGTTCTGGTTGGTTTGGCTGGGAAGAAGAGCAGTTTAGTTTTAGAGAAGGTTAACTGGAAGTGATGGGGGTTCATCCATGTCAGGACGTCCTTCCTCTGAGACCATGTGATCATCATGGCGATAGATCTGGGTATCGTCTGCGTATCGTCGGAATGGCATTATTAGGAGACAAAAACGTAACTATCGGTAAGCAGAGTATGCAGTTGCTTAAACAATTGTGGACTAGGACGTCTCTTTGCAGATGTAATGATGCTACATTAACTGACTGGACCATATTTATACCCCAATACATGGCAGATTTCAACATGATGGTGAGCCGTTTAAACATGACACCAAAAGCAAAGCAGACATTGGTACTTTTTGTACTTCATATGGGGCCCACCCAGATAATAATGCATACAGGCCTATTGTTGTGTTGTTACACCATTGTTAGTAGACGCATGTGATCAGATGTTCTACCCCAGAGAGGTGGTGTAAAAGCAAACAGGGCCCAGATTGAGCCTTGGTGGATCCCTGGGAGATGTACCCAAACCAAACAACTTGTTGGGATCTTGATGACCCAACCGCAACTCCAGAGTTCAACATGCATGACTTCACTGCTTACCAGGGTGCTTTTCTGTGTCTCCGCCAGCTTTGTAGCAATGAGGTACTGAACCGGAGCCAACAGAACTATCACCGATGCTCCCACCAAAGCACTCCAGCTCAAGAAGTTGTAGAGCAGAATCACTCCCATCACAATCTAAGATAAAGAGCAGAGCTGAAAGTTCTCCACAGCCAAAGCAGAACATCTGGAGCTTAGTTTTCTTTGAAGCAGAGCTCACCTGTACAGGCATGGCCCAGAGGTTGGGGCAGAGGAAGAGGAACCACATCAGCTGGTTGGTCTCGATGGCAACCAGGTTGTTGATTTGACCCAGAGTCATCTCCCCCATCGACATGTTGGAGGTGGACAGTCGAAGGATTTTGTTGTAGATCATCGCCTGGAGATGAAATATCAAAGAATAAAACAGAGTCGCTTTGAAGGACAAAACCTGCAAACTTTCTGAAGCTCTTCAACATTATTCCCATTAAACACAGCTTATAAAATCCTTGAAATATTTAAAAGTATTAAAACTTTCCAGTATGTGTTTAACAATGTTCCGGTTCTTCTGACTTCCCTGCTGTCAGTATGGGACTTGCTGCTTTAAAAACCCACCTAATTTTGGGGTAATCCTTGCCTATTTTGCATACCCAAATAGAAAAACAAAAAACTGAGGAACTGCAATCCCAAATTATATTTGTGATCATCGTTTGAAAATATAAATGAATATAGTGTGAGTAAAACACAGCCTAAGCTGCATCAAACATGACTCCAAGTTATTTTTTATCTTCGGGAAAAAAGTAGGACCTTTTTGAACAGCAGCAATAGAGAACATGCTTGAAAATAGGCATTTCTCATTTTATTACATCTTTCATGATGTCAACCACACCTGCAGGAACTTTCAGACATCTAGGTATAACAGTTCCAGAGCTGTGGGACTTTGAACTTCTGGTGTCACCAGCGCCAGTGCCACACTGGATAAAATCGAAATCTAAATAAGTCATTTTTTTTCTTAAAATAAGTGCATTTGTTTTTGGATTGAGGAGGTACAAGAGAAATCTTGCCAATGGAACAAGACAATTTACACTTAAAATAAGAAAACACAATTGCATTGTCTTTTTTTAAGTGCATATTATCTGATTATCTTATTTTAAGAGTAAAAATACTCATTCCATTGGCAAACTATCTCATTTACAAACTCAAATTAACGGTAAATACACTTAATTCAAGACATCTTTACTTATTTCTAGATTATTTTCCCAGTGCAGATTGTGCCAAACTGTTCCAATTGTGCAGAATTCATTCATTGAGCTTTTTATGAAAAAAAAATAAAGCTAATTTTTGAACTGTAAAAAAAGTTATATAAAAAATAGATGAATAATACAAAAAATATAAAAAGTTTCATTTAGTGAATAACCTTTCGGTGCATCATTGGCTGACAGTCAGGGAGCACTTGTGAGACTTCCTGGGCTGTCCCTGAATCAAATCAAGTCATGCAAAGATCTGGACACTTTTGTTTTGTAGGTAGGAAGAGGATGTAAAAAAACAAAAACATTTAAGGAAGTCTTATTCGCAAGATGCTAAGCATTAGCTATGACCAGCTAACTTTTTTGACGTCAAAAAACAGACGTTATTTAGGGATATTTGTCATCATGGAATGTTTTTATGATAATTATTCTGGATTACTTTAAATCCGTGGACCCTTATGGATGAATGGAGTATAAATTATTTAAGATTGGATTTATAATATGGCTTCTGGATGCCTTTAAATGTATTTTGTTGTGCACTGGAAAAAATCAAAATCTGGATAAGTAATTCTTTCTTAAAATAACTGCATTTGTTCCAGAATTGAGGAGGTAAAACAGACATTTTGCCAATGAAACAAGATAATTTACATTTAAAATAAGAAAATACATTTGCATTCTCTTACTTCAGGTTCATATTATCCAATTATCTTATTTTAAGTGTAAAAATTTAATTTACCTACTCGGATTAAGGGTAAATAAACTTAATTTAAGAAATCTTTGGCTCATTTCTAGATTGTTTTTCCATAGTGGGCTCTTTGTCATGTTTACATGTCACCATGCTGTTATATCTGTGTTAATTGTGCTTTGTTGCTCGCTGTGTGCATGAAATGAACAAGGTGGTTGAATTTTGGAGAATCTAAGCTTTTTAACGATGTCTTAGATGTACATGTTGGTAAACATTTTACAGTTGTACACTGCAAAAACAATCTAGAAATAAGTAAAGTTCTTAAATTAAGTGTATTTACCCTTAATGTTGTAGGTAAATAAGATTATTTGCCAATGGAATGAGTATTTTTACTCCTAAAATAAGATAATTAGATAATCTGCACTTGAATGAAGACAATGCAATTGTTTTTTTCTTATTTTAAATTTAAATTGTTGTTTTTCCATTGGCAAAGTGTCACTTACCTGCTCAATTCAAGAAAAAATGCACTTAATTTAAGCAGAAATTACTTATTTAGATTTCCATTTTTTGCAGTGTAATTTAATTGTTTTCTGACTTGTTAGTTGTGAACACTTTAAAAATGATTTAATTAGGTTAACTCGCCAGTAGAGCCCCCCTCAGGTTGATGCCCGTCTCAATGGTGACGTAGTAGGAGGCCTGAAGGAAGGTTCTCTGCAGGACCAGAGCCAGGAAGAGCAGAACGGCCAACACAGAGCTGTTTTCCATGAGTTCGGTGGTGTGCATGAAGTACACATCAAAATCTTTGACCTGAAAGCACAGACAGAACATTAAGAGACAGAACCTCAAGCTGCTCCATCACATTCACTCATGTTTCTGATCATCCAGCAAAATTCCATCTTAAAGATGATCTGACGATACAATTGGAGAAATTCAGAGCAGAAAGCCATATTTGTACAAAGTTGTTGTTTGCTGAAAAAGTAAAGAGGTGGGGGTAGTTTCCCACAGCGATGTTCCACAGACGGCTGAGTGGGGAACTTTCCATGCTTTGAAAAATGCAGCCAGGCTCTGCTCTCTGTCTTTGTTGCCCACTTGAACCCACCTGACAGGGGCAGCCAGAGCGACGCAGAGCATGAAAACATGGCGTCATCACAGAAACATCTGCTCTTCTTCTACTGTTACCTCACCCCGACCCTCTGAGGAGGCTGGCAGACCGCCAATTAACAACGTTTCACTAATTAATTCATTCAATTCAGTTTATTTCTATAGCGCCAATGCCATCTCAGGTCACTTTACAGTTCACCAGATCATCCAGTCAAATTGATTCAAAGTTTTCTATCTAAGGAAAACCAGTTGATTGCATCGTCTCATTGACTCAAAAGTATTCCCTCACACTA